CGCGTGGATATGTGGAAGGCCTGGCTGCTGTGGCTGTGTGCCACACCCTCCCACTGCATGTAGTAGCATGTACCCAGACTGCAGCAGCATGTGCTGGCCAAGCGGCCCACGCGATACTGTGCCCCACGCCCCCTGTGCATGCTTGCTGCTGTGGCTGTGTGCCACACCCTCCCACTGCATGTAGTAGCATGTACCCAGACTGCAGCAGCATGTGCTGGCCAAGCGGCCCACGCGATACTGTGCCCCACGCCCCCTGTGCATCCACCTCCCCCGCCCTGTGTGCGTGTGTGTGTGTGTGTGTGTGTGTGTGTGTGTGTGCACGTGTCAACGTACCAGAAGATTGCTCCCAGGCCTCCCAGGAGGCCTGGGAGATGTCCAGGATGGCAGGGACTTAGTCCAGGGACAGGGTGACAGTCCCAGTGTCCTGGTCCTCCTCCTCCTCTGTTGGGGGCTGGACTTGCCCCTCCATCTTCTCTGGCTCGGGGACAGGTTCTGGGTGCTGGAATATGGGCTACTGCAGCCCAGAGTCCGCTATGATGGGGGGGGGGAGAAGAGGGTTCCCCACCCCAAGGATGTGGTGGAGCTCCCTATAGTAGGGGCAGGTGTGGGGTCCTGCCCCTGAGCGTGCCCTGCACTCCCTGGCCTTTACATACCCCTGATGGAGCTCTTTCACCTTTGCCTGGATTGCTTCATGTTCCGGGTAGGGTGACCTTGCTCCGCCAGGGATACGACCATGTGGTAGAAGATCTTTCAGATCTTCTTCAGAGCCACTTCAGGTGGGGGCATGCCTTTTTGTCCCCCTGGGGGGGGGGGTCCTGTGACCCCTGGGGCTGCTCCCTGGAAGGGCCAGAAGGGTCTTGGGGAGCTTGCTGGGAGGCCATTTGTGGCAGAAACAGAGCTGTACAGTGAAGGCAGCTGGTCCCTGCAAACTTCCTGCCACAAGGCTTGTGCAGGGTGCCTGGGGTTTTAAGGGCAGCCAGCAAACAGGAACTATAGAGTTGCGATTGACTTGGCTGAAGCGGCCAAGAGGCCACCATTTTTTTCCCTGGAGGCCAGTTTTTGCACAAAACTGCCTGTTGAGCATCCACACTTGCCTTTTTGCGCAAGAGCGGTAGTGCAAAAAGGAGTTATGCCTCATAGAAGGAGGTATACCTACACTGCAAAAAGCCCTCTGTTCTGCCAATTGACTGTGGATTTTCTTGTGCAAAAACACACTTGAGGTGTGGACGCTCTGCGGGCTTTTGTGCAAAAACCTTGTAGTGTAGACGTAGCCTTAGAATGTAGAGTTGTGAAAGCTCGTACGGGGTTTCTTCAGCAGGTGCCTAGACCTGAGATGTACAGATTAAAATTGGGGGTGGGGAGAAAGTATGCATAATTAGTCTTCAGTTATTGTTTAGAGAAGTGCCAAGTTATCAGCCAAACTGTAAATGTTGTCTGATAAACTGAAGTGCAAAAGAAAGATTTAATAGCAGATACTATGTATATGAACCATTAACACACAGCACATAAAATAGATGTCATTTATTGTTCATTTTAATGAAACGTCAGCTCAACATTTGTGTTTTATAGATGACAATGAGATAATCTACTGCAATGGAAATGTTGTTTTGGATTCCCATTATTCTCAAGGATCATTGTCCCTTAGTACTTCCTTCAGTTCCCTGTGTGAAGACACTAATTCAGCCTATGAAAGTTCTTCTTCAGGTACAATAGTTTAAATACATAGATTTCTATAACAGTTTTTTTGCTTACTACTGCAGTGTTTAATTTTTTTAAAGAAAAATATCTTATTGTCATGCAACATTGCAGGCTACACTTATGTCTGCTAACATCTGCAAAACTATCTCATCCCATCTAAGCAGAGATTGGAATGTCTGGAAGACATAAACACAGAGGGGGAAGACGTATTGGAATTGGGATTAAACTGAGTACACATTATGTCTAGGAGTTTTGTTCATACAGGTAGCCCCTCTCCCCATATTTAATTGGTTACAGGATAACAGCCTTGTGCCAGACTACGTTGCCGAAGGGGCAAAAGTTAGCTGCCACAGTCACTGAGTTTTAACCTTGTGCTAGGTGCACACAACCTGTGGTTGGATTCTACTGTGCCAATAAATGGTTACAAAGTCTGGGCAAGTTTATGCATTCTTACTCACACAGGGAGATGTGATATATGACTGGAGCCATCCCGCTAAAATATGTGAGACTGTTCTAGGAACAGTGGCACAGTCTTGTCCTGTCTGACAATGGCCATGCTGCCATTGTCTAGGAGAAATTCAGACAGAGCTCTCCAGTGAAAAGTGAATTTGCAATAAAGTAGATCTTCATCACATAACTAACCCAAGGTTTTAAAAAGGGCAAATAGTTGACATGAATGCTTCCCTTTTCATACACTAAGCAATGATAAAAACTGGTTTAGATTAAAAAACAAAACAATGAATGTTAATATCTGACAGTGAAAATCAGAATGAATTATTTAAACTAAGCAGACAAAAATACTGATAATAAGATGCATTTTAAGAAACTGAAACACTGAGATCATTAGTGAAACAAAAAAAATCTATTATAGTCTCACAGTAGTTAAAGTTGCATTAACATTGTATTTTTACAAGTCCCATGCCTTTTTTTTTTTGCCCCCATACCATGGGGAGCTTGAACTAAGGATGTTAGACTAGTCGACTATCACATAGAGGCAGCAAAGAGGGAGAGGATACTTCAAAGGGCAGCGCCACACATCGCCCCTTTGAACACCACCTCAGCGTTTCAAAGCAGCAGTGCCACCTGGAGTCTGGGGTCAGCTGGGGACTCTCCAGCTGATCCTGATCTGTGTGTGGCATTTCCACGGAATCCAGGATCAGCTGGGGAGTTCCCAGCTATCCCTGGGCTCTGGAGAAATGTGGAGCAGAACCTGTGGTCTGCTGGGGAGTCCCCAGCTGATCCGGGCTCCACGTGGCATTTCAAAGCAGCAGTGCAGCATGGAGCCCAGGGTCAGTGGGGGACTCTGATTCCCCCGCTGATGCCAGGCTCCATGAGGGCACTTCCACTTTGAAAAGCACAAGAGCCTCCGCTGGGGACTGATGTACATTTCAAAGCTGGCACTCGTGTGCAGCCTGGAGTCAGCGAGACTTCCCGCTGGCCCTGGGCTGCATGTGGAGTTCTGCATTCCTTCTTTGAAATGTACTGGAGCCCCAGCTGGGGCTCTTGTACATTTCAAATAGGAATGTGGAAGTGCCTTATCGAGTAATTGATGGAAATTGTTAAGCTTTTCCTGTGCTCCTTTGGGCTTGTAATGGGGGTAAGACACATTGATTCTTTTCAGCGGGTTGTTTCTTGCTTTCCTCAGAAAGGATTACAAGAAAATTAGCTATAAAATTCTAGCTCTTTTTCTTAAGATTATCTGTCTGATCCTTCCAAATTGGGGTCTATGATTTTCTGAATATTCACATTTGAAAAGAAGTAAGAAATTATAGACATCTGAGTCATAATCTTATGTTATGTATTTTTTTTAAAGGACACTGAATTTCAAGCAAAAAGTTGTGTTTGAATAGTTTAATTATTTTTCAGTTAATAGTGAGTGATGTAATATGGAGCGCCACAGAGACTACTGTTACAACAGAATATATATTGAAGGCAACAAATATGTTAAGGCTTTCTTATTTACAAAGCACATATGTAAACTATTTTTTGTATTAAAATGCTAGGTAAATACATAAATGAATGTATTTAATGTAAGTAAGATTGCTTTCCTCTGTAAACTAAATCATAAAAGAGCAGGAAATCTAAAGTTGAGGATTAAAATGTAGCCAAATCAAGCACTCTCATGTTACAAAATGTCAGAATGAACTTTGTCCATGTAATTTTAATTTGGTCTCTTCATATGTATACATTAGGATATGGTGTTTAATTATGTGATCCTATACTAGTTTTTACACAAGCACAGGATAGGAGATGAATTAGGGCTCTGTAGTTGTGGTGCTTTCTGGGGGTACCCAGAGTTGCGAGGCACTTTGCTGCCACCTGCCCTTACTGTGGGGAAGCCTTATTGGTTGCCTGCTGGAGGACAGCTCTCTGATGCTACAAGCATCATGAACACTGTGCAGGTTCTGCTGTCTGTGTGCAGATTAGTGATAGCCATGTTCCAATCCTCGAGCCCTCTGAGCATTTTCCTGGAGTGTCCTGCCCCTGTTTCACTGGATACTCACAGTAGTTACAGTTTGCTACTCCCAAAGAACCAGAGCACTCCAGCTTACTGGCTTCATTTCAGGCCACTGCTCTATTTAACACACAACTATTAGATTTGTTTATAGTGAAAATAAGAAAAAGTGAATTTAACCAAGATATAAGATTAAAATAATAGAAAATAGGTAGAAATGTTGGAAACAAATGTTTACATATTCAATAAAATCATATGCTCTTGCCAAACACCTACCAGCATTTTCAGCCATGCCTGGCTGAAATCCATTTTTTTTCATGAGACAAAACTTGCTACTAGCTTGACCCTTACTTAAAACATACTGTATGTTTCTTTGCCACCCCTGGGGTATCAGAAATGCATCATGAGACATATGATACACAACGAGTAGACACAGATTAGTGTTTGACACCCCTTGTCTAAATAGAATCTTCTGATGATCTGCTTTAATGTCAATAACTTAATGTCATTATAGATACATAACCTCTTAAATATTATCTGTGCATACCTTAACAGTAATTATGGTGACAAGTGAGCTATTTACTCTTGGTAGAGATTGTATATGTCACCCCTTGGTGAATTATTGTGCATATAACAGACCCAGCAGATTGCTGTAAAACTCTGTGCCCCCTGTGCCCTTTGCCAGAGAGAACAAAGAGGTTCCTCAGTCACAGTAGCGAAGGAATCTGCTATTAATAGAAACTCTGCCTCATTGATGCAGAAGTTGGAAGCTATGTAGTGAAAGTGGAGAGGGTTTGCAGGAAGAGAGAGAATGGTTTCATGGCTAAGGTATTGGAGACTTGCATTCTATCCCTGCTTGTACCACAGCATCCTTATATGGTGCTGAGCAAGTCACTTGCTCTACACATTCCTGTATATAGTTGAAGGCTCTGTCACAGTATATATGCACAAGGGGGCCAAAGTAAGACTGCATGAGCAATATATTTTTCTAATATCAGACTGCTTGATTTGACAAAATTCTAATCATTAACATCGTATTTCATAATTTTCTATCGTTTAGGCATGATAGTAATAATATGAAGATTAGGATTCAACCATATCAAGTTTTTTGGGAGGTAGGGGCAATGATAATACACATTAAATTGATATTGGAAAAGGCTTGTTTGTACTGTCAGAGGCTTATACAGTATCCAGTAATTTAGGCAAAGGTGACTTAGCCAAGTTGTGCATTTCTACATCACTGAGGTATGGAACTTAACTGGACAAACTTGGTAATCAATCCTTATTGGAACCACATCTAAGAATAAAAAACAGGACTATGTAGCACTTTAAAGACTAACAAGATGGTTTAATAGGTGATGAGCTTTCGTGGGCCAGACCCACTTCCTCAGATCAAATAGTGGAAGAAAATTGTCACAACCATATATACCAAAGGATACAATTAAAAAAATGAACACATATGAAAAGGACAAATCAAATTCCAGAACAGAAGGGGAACGAGGGAGTGGGGAGGTAAATGTCTGTGAGCTAATGATATTAGAGGTGATAATTGGGGAAGCTATCTTTGTAACGGGTAAGATAATTAGCGCCTTTATTTAAACTTGAGTGTAAAGTGTCGAATTTAAGCATGAATGACAGTTCAGAGGATTCTCTTTCAAGTGAAGTCTTAAAAGGCCTTTGAAGCAGGATGTAGGTAATCAAGTCGTTGAGACAATGTCCTTTCTGGT